ATGTGTATGTATGCGTATGTATGTGTATGTGTGTGTGTATGTATGTGTATGTATGTATGTATGTATGTATGTACGTATGTATGTATGTATGTATTTATGTATGTATGTACGGATGTACGTATGCATGTATGTGCATGTATGTATGTGTATATGCATGTATGTGCATATGTATATGTAGATGTGGACGTAGATGTAGAAGTATGTGTGTATGTGTATGTGTGTATCTCTATGTGTATGTGTATGTGTCTGTGTATGCGTATACGTATGCGTATGTGTATGTGTATGTGTGTGTATGTATGTATGTATGTATGTATGTATGTATGTATGTATGTATGTATCTATGTATCTATGTATGTATGTACGTATGTGTGCATGCATGGATGCATGCATGTATGCATGTGTATGTATGTTTAGACAGACAGACAGACAGACAGACAGATAGATAGATAGATAGATAGACAGATAGACAGATAGATAGGTATACATCTACATCTGTATGTCTTTCGATGTATATACTTGCAAACATGCATTCAGACAAGCATATGCATGCAGAAACATAGGTGTATACATATATATATATATGTGTGTGTATATAGACATACATGCATACACACACACACACACACTTAGATGTCAATGTTATTTGTATGACACTAAGCCTAAGACACAGGATCTCCAGAAGAGGCCCAGCCACGGGTACATGATGGTTGCATAGGTAGCCACGGCCAGGAATGCCTCGCTATCAAGGCTTGGCTTAGCAACCTGCGTACTTCAGCCTAGCCCCCAGGCCTCTTCTGTACACCCTAGCAAAACGGTACCCAAACCCTAAACCCCAAACCCCAACCCTAAACCCTAAGGTCAACCCTAAACCCTAAAACCCTAAACCCTAAGGTCAACCCTAAACCCTAAACCGTTAAAACCCGAAGTTGCCGGGTTTAGGGCTCTTCGCAAGTGCCCCTCTGAGGCGCCAGAGGTTGGCTCAGCAGCCCACACACCGCTAAAGCCAGAAGAGCTGCGTGCTCGTCAGAGCTGTAGCCTTACTTTGAAAGGTCCGGTTGAGTTTTGGGTTATGGGTTTAGGTTTGGGGTTTAGGGCTTAGGGTTTAGGGTTTGGGGTTTTGGTTTGGGGTTTAGGGCTTAGGGTTTAGGGTTTAGAAAGTCCGGAGTTCATGGCGTTTAGGGTTTAGGGCGCAGGACTTTAGGAGTTGCGGGGTTCAGGGTGTAAGGTTTCGGGGTTTGGGGCTTTGAGGGCTGGCTTGGGGTCAAGGCATTCTTCCACACATGACGCAGGAAAATTATGCAAAACTGTAACTGGCAAAGCCTATGTAGAGTCTTCTAAGTAATATCTATACATATTATATATGTATATATATATATACGAACCCTAAACCCTTTTGTAGCCCCCTAAAGCCCCCCTAAGAGGCCTGTCACATTCAGAAAGGCAACAAGCAATGCCTGGATCGGAGACCATCGAGGCGGTCTGATCTGGATTTGGAGCACATTGAAAGGGAACCTCACTTGTCTGGTTCCCTGTTGGGGCTATAATAAAAATGATCATTTTTAATCCTTATTGGGTTTTAGTACAACCAAAATGTTAAAATTGTATCCAACAAGGACCCAGTTATTCTGTTTCCTAGGGTTAACCTGTTGGGGTTACATGAATCCGGGGTTCTCTAAATCAGGGTCCCTCTTCAGGTCCCCAATGGAGTGCGGCACCCTTACAGAAAGGACCCCAAAAGAGACCCGAATTTAGAGAACTACCCACGTGAAGATTGTATTCCCCCAAGAAGCTTAACCCTCGACTCCGTTGGGTGATTATCTTCTCTCCCCCCCCCAAACCAAAAAAAACGGGTCAAGAAGGCTACGTACTCTTCTACCAGGGAACCAAGGTTGCGAGTGCGATGGACAGGTAGAAGGCGAAGATCAAGAGGCCACAAAGGTTGAGCACTGTGTCCAAGGGTTTCGGGCGTCCCAGCATCTTTGACAAACACCAGCTGACTAGAAGGCAGGCGCAAGCCAAAGGACAAGCAAGCAGTCGACTCGCAAACTTCAGCACGGGGCTATCCGTTCCATAGATGCATGTGATACGGATGAAATCCTTATTTTGCTGAGTTCCCTCACCCTCAAAAGGTTTAACCTTTCAATTAGGCTAGGGCAGTACTAAGCCCCCCAAAGAATACAGGTTACCTAAACCCCGAACCCTAGACCCCTACTCCGCAGCTCAGAATCCAAGTCAAACGTTAGAAGCTTCGTCAACTCCAAGAGTTGAAGCACAGGCTGCTGCCACTCAATGGACAGCTGCTGAATGGAGCCTCGCTTGGGGTTTAGGGTTTAGGGTCGAGGGGTTTAGGCTTTAGGGGTCTAGGGGTTTAGGGTTTAGGGGTTTAGGGCCTTGCTTGGGATAAACAGGTCAACCGTCTGGGAAGATGTAGGGATTTATATAGGGGGTAGGGGTTGTATTATATGGGGTTATCTAGGGGTCAGACAGGGATTATGCCACCCCCAAGAAAGTCAAAGGCTGCGTACTCAACTGGTAAGGAGCCGAGGGTTTGAATCGCCACGAGCAGCTGGCTCGACACTGCCGCCGCGGTCAGCAAGTTGAAACCTGTGTCTGCTCAACAGCCATCAACTTGGAAAACTGAGGACCCTGGCATCAAACAATGCTAAACGAGCATTGTGGTAAGGTAAGTACATGTGTATGTGTGTGTATATATATGTATATATATATATGTATATATATATATATGTATATGTATATATATATATAGATATGTAGAGAGAGACATACATGCATACATATACATGCATACATACATACATACATACATACATACATACATACATACATACATACAGCATACATACATACATACATAAAACAGGCTAAAGGTGGCCTACCCAGCCCCAAAGAAAAGCAACAGCGTGAAGTACTTCTCACAGCAAGGATGTTCAGCATCTGTAGCCTTTGGGGAATCCCAGTCTTCGCTAACCACGAGCCTTTTCGAGGGCTAAGGAGTCTGATGGTAGTCTAAGATGGTTCCTGTGAAGCTGCAGCCATGGTGCTGACCTGGCTGGGCTCGACTCTCAACATTTTCAGGAGCAGCAAGGCAATCGGGATTGCAACGAAGGCTATGACTCCGGGCAAGGCGTCTGTCTCACCACAGGGCAGACAGGTACCATTCTCCCTGGGATAATGCCTTGCCTTGCAATTATTGCAAGCAATTCCTTCTCTTCCGTCGGCGCACGTGCCGAGTGCCGCTTGGGGACACTCTCGCGCATTGCGACAGCGAAGAACGGAAAAGTCACAGCCCGTAGAAGCGTCCTTTGTCCAAAAGCCGGCAAGTTGTACAGGAGGACCCAGGCCTTCTTGGCAGAAGAGGCCCTCAAAACAGCTTTCACAGCTCGTTGTCTCGCCGCACATGAACGAGCCTGAACCACAGAGGCACTCGGACTCATTCACCGCCCCGCTTTCCCGGGTAATCTGGCCCCTTCCGCAAGGGGAGCAGCGCGCTTGCCCAGAAGAGGCAGAGTACCAACCGATACCGCACCTGCATTTTGTCTTAAATTAGAGTTCAGGGTTTAGGGTGTAGGATTTAGGGTTTGAGGT